ACACCACTAGTACTTAGAGATGACTTCATCACCTCAACTTTCTCGTGCTTTCTGATGTTGAGGCTTCGGGCTCCTCAACTTCTCATAGAGGATGTCCGAGCTTCAAGTTCAATCTTGGAACTTGTTGTCTTCCCGCATGGGTCGACAACTTCTCGACTCTCAAAGGTGAGTATTTACTCTCCTCCTTGAGTGTACATAACTTTTGGTAATTAGTGCTCATCTCCTTTCTTCACGAACCATCGGGCACACCCTAGGGTGACGCTCTTGGTCCAACAATTCACAATTTGGATCTGGGTCTTCAGTTCTTGCAGCTTCTTGGCGTCTGGGTATTCAGCTCTTGCAGCTTCTTGGAGTCTCTCGATTTGGCGTTTTTGACGTTAGTCCTACTCCAGCAACAGGTCGATCGAATTTCATTTGTCGGTTAGGTGGTATTCTCGGTAACATTTTGAGAATACGAACACGCGATTGAAACAATGGTTAACTCTCCGGACGTTGTTAGTGAAGTGCTCTCTTTCTCTCTCTCTCTCTCTCTCTTCACGACTTCTAGAATTTTCCTATCGGCATATCGTCCATCTGCCCACAACTTCCAACTCGAGAGTTGTGGCATTCGGCACAGGTATGCAAAATTTATAAGTCTTCATCTTCTTAAACATGCTATCTCAACTTCCACGTGTGAGGAAGTTGGTTCTCCTTCTTGAATCATGGTGGTTGCGAACTCCCACTCGGCTTCTATTAAATTCTCTGCGAACTGTCGTCTGAGTATTCTCATACTATTGGAACTTCCTTGGGTGATGGCTCCCTTTCAAGACGAATGAGTAAGTCGTCTTGACATCAAAACATGGCTCGACATGCGATTCTTCGTTCTAGCTTCCTTTAAACTGGGTCACCTATTTCTCTGACTACTAGAGATCACCTCATATGGAAACATGTCTGCTATGGTTCGGCTTCAAGCCTCCATGGTTCCTTCCGGACTTATGGCTTTTATTTCAAGCCTCCAGGACTTACCCGGATCTATGACTCTTATACACTGAAAATCTATTGCTTATAATACTAGCTGGAAGGCATCTTGCCAACTCAAGTGGGGTAACCTCTAGAGTTAGAACTCAACTCAAAGTTTACATAGTTCAAACAATGGAAACTCCACTGCTTTATCTATGTGTTGCAATCCATCGACTTATTAATCTAACTTTCGCAAGTGTCAAATTATAGCAATAACTCGCTCTTTGTGATCTTTACATTATGGAATGCACTGAAATTTCGGTCTCAACTTGAATTTTAACAGAGTTTCGAAGTATGAAGAAATTCCCGCAACAAAAGTGTTGCGAGTTCACGGAACGGAGATAATTAAACTACATGCATCTTCTTAAGTCCTCTGGACTTCTGCTTCTACTGGTGACGAGCGTAGGCACTAGCACTTCCTCCTCCTTGTTGATCTTGGATCAGCTATTGCTTGTTGGGTCCTGCCATTTCTGGCAGAATTTACTGAAATGTAGAATTTACTCAGTCTTAATTCTAAGGTTTGAAATCGATCTTATGGCGCTAATATATCGCCACGACTATCCTCGATACGTAGAAAAAGGTACTTGCCCACAACATGATCGAGGTTGATTCTAGGGTATATTCCGCTCCTCCTTGTGAAAAGTCAACGGTAGAGCGTACAAATAACTGACTCTGCTGAAATTTTGACTAAACCAGTATAGCCGATTAATAAATAGCTACACTATACTTTAATAATTTATCGAATTCCGAAAACACCTAGCTTGGCTAGAGTTCCGGTTACACTAAAATCTTCTAAATTCTGACTAGAGTTCTAACTAGAATTCTCAAATCTTAATCGAAGGATAGATCTAACGCCCCTGAAATAATCTGAATATAATTAAATATGCATTCGCAAATAAAAGTTGTACAGGTGACGTACCTCGGAGTCGGCGTGGCGTGAGCGTGGTGTGGTCATATCTCACTAAAATTTTAGTATACAGAACCACTAAGTGGCTCTGATACCAACTGTAACACCCCGCCTAAAACTTACTAAAATCAGAGTAAATTTTTCGCGCTATAATTGGAAAGCACTACTTTAATCTTCGAAAAACTCATATTAATTTTTCGAAAATACTTTAACTTTAAAACACGGGGTGCTACTCAATTTTAATCTTATATCTTTAATCTCTTTAATCTAACATGCATGCGACCAAGTAAAATCCATTCTAGAATTAAGGCCATGAATAATACCGGATTAATCATGCATATTCTGAAAATCTGACATAATCTGAAATCTGAAATACTAGACTGAAATCTGACATCTGAAACACAGGTCTAATATGCGGAAGCAGAAATAGTTCGGAAAGCACACACAAAACATAAGACAGACATAGATAATTCAACACGTTCAAATACTATATGACATGTTTTCACAAAAATGTCCTGAAGCTGGACCAACACCACATAACTGCTCACGCTCCACGCGGGACTCCATCACCTGAAAAATAGGGTAGTGGGGAGGCGTGAGCACAAAGGAATCAACGGTGCTCCGCCAGAACCGGCACTGAATACTCAGCACAATTAGTAATAAACTATGGAATCAACATATATATGAATAAACTGGTCTGACTATGGGACTAACGGTAAACCGGTACTCATGTGCACACTCTGGGGGTCCCCTCCCACAGAAATCCAGGAAAGGCACTAATCACCCCATCTGGACGCTAGACTTAGGACGGGCCCTAATCACACACATCCAAGTCATAACTGAAATACTGAAATATTGACCAAGACATGATCACTCATCCGTCTCGGTCCTTCAATTTAAACACATATAGATCTCAGACATGGTAAATTATTAAAAGCGATGAAATACACAGTACGTGGTCCCCACCTGGAAAACTGGCGAAAGCGAATGCTGAATATATCTGAAATGGGTAGCTGATGGAGGCTCGACTCTCCTCAAGCTACAAAATATATTGAGCGAAATATTCTAAGTACTAGACTCAGAATAAAACTCAAATCTTTAATATCTTATATATCTAGGTTCGCTCACTCGGCTTTAAAAATCATTT